TGCTTCCCTACTTGAATAGCCAGGGCAAGAACAAATTGATGCATGATGATGACCCCTACTTCTTGAACAACTTTGTTGCCCAAGCAATTAAAAGATGCCACGGCAAAGGGGAGAGAAAAGAGAGTACTACTGCAAAGGTCCTACAAATCGGGTTCTATCTACTTACACTGAAGGTGGCGCTGTTATATATGTGGAGCATTTTGGTCTATACTGGTGCTCCAATCAAACGCGACAAAAATGTCATAACAATTCATGATTTTTTGGAGTTTGCATCCCTTGAACCTTTTTTAATTTATGTTTCAGAAGTTTTGTTTTGTCGTAAGTGTTTGTTTGTTTATTTTTATTTGTTTTATTTTGTTTTATCTTTATTTTTAATATTAGTTCTTTTTAGGATGAAGGGTGTTTTAAAGGATGAATATGATGAAATCTCACGAGGGAACTTCACAGGCTGCTGCAAATCAATATGTCACGACAAAGATAGATGCAATCGAGGCTCTAACAAGACGCAGTCGTGGCACCTGTTCACAAGGAGATGCTCCCACATTGGGCTTATAATCTTCTGGTCATCCTGGACAAGATCTTGCCATCATTTTAGGATGCCACGACATTTGCAAATGTCACTCAGCAAGACAGTACACCCAAGTCAGAGGATGTTAACTCAGTCAGCATGGACTAGATGACGTCTGAAGTCATCTGTTGGGCGTATGGAGACCTCAACATCTAAGAACACTGAAGGCCCTAGCACACCACCTGCTAAACCTAATTCTGATCCTGACAAAAGCCCCACATCACTGAGTAAGTGCACCAGACACAATACTACTAGCACTGCCAGCGTGACTCCACCACCATCTTAGGAAGACAAAGTACCTTGCATTGCATTGCATCACATCGCATGTAGTCTAGTTTTAACTTAGTTTTTTATTCAACATTGAGGACAATGCTTCTCTCAAGTTTGGGGGAGGTAGTGTTCTTTGTAGAACATGTGCATGATAATATTAACATAATGTTATGCCATGGCATCAGTAAATGGTAGGACACTTAGTTGAAATGTTTTGATGATACCTGATGAAGATGAACTTTTTAGGCTAGAAATTGAATGTAAATGACTATTGAGAATGATAAAACTGACTCTAGGGCTTGATGCTTTGCGAATTATTCTTACACGATTTGTATGTTTTCTATACTTAAAGAACTTAGGAAGTTTTTATGAAAGAACACTGGTTAGCCTTGGCATTAAAATATGGTATTATGCTTAAATGATAAATCACTGTTTAAGAACTCCCTTATCTCTGAATTTTGTTTAATCGTGAATAAATGCTTCGGCATAGCTGTAGAGGGACACTCCTCTTTGCCGTGGCATTGCCTGAAACTCTCTTTAATAAATGGCAGCCACACGCATACGAGTGAATAAAAGTAGTCACGGGATGACTCTGCCTGACTAGCTTGGGGGTGGAAGGTATGCTCCCTTTCACCTAGAGTGTGGGATGGTAGGTGTGATGAGCTGACTCCCTTCGTAGCAGCGTAAAAAAGTGGAAAAAAAAAAGAAAAAAATATGTACTAAATGAAAAGGGAGTATAAATGTGGTTAATGAATAAGTAAATGTTGTGGCGAAACTAGGGAACTCAATTAGAAATTGCCTAAATTCGTTAAGTATAGATTAAATACAATCACGCACACACACAACCATAAAGAATCTTAACCTAGGGAAAAGTACTTGAATTCTTGATATGTCTAGCATGTTAAAGCCAATTATTCTGAGGGTTGAAATTCAATTATTGTCTTGTTGTCCTACTGTTGAAATTGCCATGACATTTTGATTGTGTTAATAGTTATCCATTGCTTGAGGACAAGCAATAGGTTAAGTTTGGGGGTGTGATAACTCTGTAAAAAGATTATTTTTAAGGCCTTTCAACTTAAGTTATTGTTTGTTTAAGGGTACATATAGGTCATTTTAGATGTATGTAGCTGCATATAATTGCATTTTTTTGTGGTTGTGTTATTTTATTTTATTAAGGTGCTATATGAAGAGGAAGGTGTGGTTTTTAGTATATGCAGGAAATAATAAGCAAAATAGGCGAGCTGGGAAGTAATGCCGCTGCATCACACGTTGCTGAAGCAGATTGAAATGCCTCGGCATTTTTGGCGTAGAAAACGACAAAAATATACAGTTGTATGTGGACAGCTGGCTCTGCATATGAAATGATAGCTGTAACAGCCTGCTAGGGGACCACTGACACCTGGAGGATAAGGTTCATGCACAACATGTGATTCTAGGGGTATGAGGGGTATTTTGCACCCAACAATATCCCAACAACCTCATCATTACCCCTAGATATTTATTATATATTACACCTCACAAGAAAGAGAGTGGGGTGGAAAGAAAGGAGACGCATATTGTAGCAGAAAAATCATATTTTTATTTTCCCTTTTCCTTTCTTCTTCCTTGGGTTTTCCTCCATTGATAAAGCTTCAAGGAGTGGCGAGCTAGGCGCCGAGAGGAGCTAGCGAGCTAAAGTGGTTCGTGGTGGTCGATGAGACCTCCGGTGGCATGCGACGAAGGATCTTTCTCACTTTCCTTTGCTGTTATTTTATTATTTTTTTTATTTGTGGATTGTTGGAACGAATATTTTGTGGATTTTTCTATGGATATTTTGAACCCCACCAAGAACTAACTTATTTGGTGGTGGTTGGTTTAATGGATGTTTAAACTTTATTTTTAATGGTATATTTAAGTTTATCTTGGTTCTCTATTTGCTTTGCTTATAAATGCTTCACCATCTAGGCTTGTAAGAGGCATGGAAATGTCCATTACTTAGATGAAGGCTAGGTGTTCGGAAGAATCCTAAGCTGACAATACTTGTAAGTATTTTGAAGAAACGCAAGACAAGATCCTCATAAGCAATGGGTTATAGTATTTTCAAGGGGCTTTGAACTGGCCTAGGAATATTATAACCTAATCCCTTAGATATTGGAAGAGACTAGAATAGGATTTCAATGAGTAAAAAGGGTGTCTTTATCAATAGGGTAGGCTGTCCAACATCGTTGAGTGAGAGAAGATGCCTTGGCATCCTATTCTGTTAGGTTCCTGTGAGAACATTTTAGGAAAGCCCTGTCGAGTAAGTAAAGACCAGATAGCTTAAATCTGCCTAAGAGATAAGTTTAGCATTCTTAGATCAATCCCTACCATTCATTCCATTGAAAGCTTGTCACGTGAGGATTATCCTCTTTTTATTTTATTTATCTTTTATTTATTGTTTTTACCATTTTTCATTGTCTTGACATTTCATCATTTTCAACACTAAACATCTATTCTTGCCACTGTATTTCCATTTGCTACACCATCACACCATCAATCCATATTCACCAGCATACACATATCCATTGCCGTGGCATTTGTATATATCAAGACTAACTATACTTAGATAGAATAGTGCATAAACTTTACTCAATATCCTTTCAATCCCTGTGGAGACGATACTCACTCATCACTTTATTACTTGAGCGATTGTGTATACTTGCACATTATTTACGTATATTTTATAGTACTCACAACACGCAGCACTACTTCAACTCTCTGATCTACAAGAACACTGCATAGAGAAAATACTTAAGACACTTCTGAAGCCACCCCTAGGATTTATCCCTTCAAAAAATGGCAACTCAATTTTGGGTTTATGCCACATAGTACCTGAACTGTTAAATGAACCCCCTGTCCCTCTTCTTTCTACTTCTGGGTCAAACATAATAGGTCTATATTCACTATTCTCTCCCATTTGATTCTCATGTCTAACACTGTTCTTAAGGGCTAAACAAGCATCATGCTTATCTTTAAAAATCCTAGGTTCATCAGTTTTATAAGTGAATCTTGATTTATCCTTCACTACAGTCACAAAAACAAGATTTTTCTCCCCATTTTTTAAAGTAATAGGAGTTTGTACCTGTTCACCTGCAGACTGCTCTTGTTCACCATTTCTGCCAGTCAAGATCATCAACAACTCCTCAACATAACCCTGATTCTTGACTCAAGTGCAGTGATTCGGTTTTCCTGAGTTTCCCATCATTTAGGTGGATTAGAGTCATCTTGGCCTTGTTTCACCAACATTGATAATTCTTCAATTTGCTTTTGTAGTGCAGATAAATCAGCTTCCATATTCTAATTCTTCTTTGTCATACCCACTGAAATTTTGCTAGGAATTGAGGCTCTCGATACCAATTTGTTATGGTTGTAGAGAAATAGAAAAATAGGTAAAAGGAATTAGAGAGAATTTTAGAGAAGAAATGCTTTTTCATTCATAACATAAGGAATTCATCATCATCGCTCGTTTTTATTTAGTTACAAGCTAACAGAATCCTAAGGATTGCCAGCTGGCTATCATTTCTAACTGAATATAACAAATTCATTCTATATTCATTTCTTTTGCAGATATAGGCTATTGGACTCGACTATTTTAACTCTTCTTGGGCCTGCTACAGCTGTTTTGGATCCGGTTCAACCCACTCCAAGTCTTTCTGGTCCACTTCAAAAGGTAAGTGATTTACATTTCCCTCACGTGCCTCAATCCCCAATTTTTCCTGCTCAATCCCTAACCCTCGCCTTTCTTCCCCCAATTCTTCTTCGTGCCCTCGCCCTTCTCCTCCCACCATGACACATTGATTAGATCAATACCACAAATTTATTTGATCTTTCAATGTTTTAGTGAAAAGGACAACTAGAAAAACTGGACTCAATGTGCTATATGCAAGAGAACAGATACCGAAGGTGTGGGACATAGTGAGAGGTCGGCAAGATGTAGGTCTATAGTTGTTTTCTTTTGGGGGTGACTTACAACCATGACCCAGCATATAAAGAGCAAGAACACAAAAATAGAAAAAAACAACTACACTGGGCAACTGATCCAAATGCTTATGTATACAAAGACACAGAAAATATTATTTAAGATACATGAAATCAGCAGGCTAACATCTCATTCTCATAGCAGAAATGACATGTTAATAAATACCTTATGGAACTTGTCAACACGGATAAGAGCTTTCATAAGCATGGTATACGTGACTACATCCGGTTTCACACACTGTATATAAATCAAACCAGATAACAATGTCATAAGTATCACTCAAATGAATGGTACTAATAATTTTAAATCAGGCAAACGGAGGTAACATGGTACTTACATTTGCCTTCAAATATTGCAACACAGTAAATGCCTCGGCATCTCTTCTATCATCTCTAAAAGCATTTATTAATGAATTGAGAGCCAAGAGATTAGGTTTCAAGCCATCTCCTCCTATAACCCTCAATGTATTCTACTTGCATAGATAAACCCTGTTTAAAAGCAAACAACAGATGATAAAGGTATGCTACAGACATCTCATCCAATATAAGCTAGCTCTAGCTAAACCTCAAACCTATTAATTTCAATAATGAACTGACAGAGCAATAGAAAATGCAGTCTTTATGCCAAGCAGATCACCAGACTAGTATATTTTGACGACATAGACCCAGATAATCCTGCCTAAGCATTTCGACTCACTCGCCAAAAGTATGCCTGGAACCCTTTGCCCAACCAGATCCTACTAACCAGGAATCATGCGCGAGAATTATCATGATACATACCACATTGAAGAGGATAAGTACTCTCAACGAATATATACTATGAACTCACTAACTCATAATGGCATTATGCGAAGCACCCGTAACTGTGACTCCCACTGGCGGAGAATAGATACCAACATGAATTTATGATTAAGGCAGTAGTAATCAGTTCTACAGCCAATGAATTGATTAAATAATACGTATCATGGCAATTCATGAGTCAGGGTTAAGTAGGAAACTTCGGCCTAACAGGAGAGAATGAGAACTGAAAAAATGATAGTATAACTTACCCTTTGTGTATATGCATTTATTAAGGCATTATACATAGTTGAGGAAGGTTTTAGTTGTTGCGGAAGACGGCTATCGGATAGAGCAAAATCACAACTCATAATTTGATAAAATAAAAATAAAGATAAATAAGACACAAAATTTACGTGGAAAACCCCTAAATAATATAGGGTAAAAACCACGGGCAACGGTAGAAGAATTTCACTATGAGAAAATAGGAATTACAGCATCTCTCGATCTACCAATGAGAAAACAGTGATAATTCTCTCTAGATAAAAAATGAGAAAACAACTCTCAAGAAACTCTCTAAATTCTCTCTAGTATTGAAAAAAAGCTAGAATGCTTTGGGATGATTTTGAAGCTAAATGAGCTAGGGTATTTATAGTTGAAGCTTAAGGACTAATTTGTAAATACCCTAAATTACAATGACTAAATGTGAGATTGTACCATTTTCAAAATTCAACATTTTTGTTGTCATTTGCTGCCACTTGCACCGAAAGTGCATCTCCACCAAAATTGAATGTGCTTGCATGCTTTCCACCGAAATATTGTTTGGATTTTTCAACAATATCCCACTTGAAGATTTGATTGGAACAATCATATCTTCACATCATTTTTTCTACCTTGTACCTTCATGTTGCTTACGTCTCTGACAGGTCACAAGAGGATCGACACAAAGTAAATTTATCAGCGTTGATCGCCTTCGTCATGAAATCTGCTATGTTATCTTTGGTATGGATCTTCTACATATCTATCGGCCATTCTTCCACCTTTTCACGAATGAAATGGTATTGAACTCGTATGTGTTTTGTCCTTGAATGAAATATTGGATTTCTTGCTAGATGCAAGGCGCTTTGACTATCACAAAACATAGAGACACACTCTTGATTGTGCCCAAGCTCCTCCAATAGCATCTTCGGCCAAATTGCTTCTTTACTGGCTTGTCTAGCTGCTACATATTCTGCTTCTGTTTTGGACGTATCCACAACTGACTGCAATTTTGAAACCTAGCTTACAGCTCCACCAGCAACTTTGAACACATATCCTGTAGTAGATTTGCTTTTATCCAAATCCCCAGCATAGCCATAATCTACATACCCATTGATTAGTAAGTTTGATCCTCCGTAACATAATGCAATATTTGAGGTCCCTTTGATGTATCTCAAGATTCTCTTTACTGTATTCCAATACTCTTTGTCTGGATTCGCCATGTACTGACTAACCACTCCCACTGTTTGTGCAATGTCTGGTCTTGTGCATATCATAGCGAAGATTAAACTTCCCACTGCTGATGCATACGGTAGTCGAGACATCTGCATCCTCTCTTCTTCACTGCTAGGACTCATACTGGAGGATAATTTGAAGTTAATAGGAAGAGGGGAAGAAATTAGCTTACAATCTTGCATGCTGAATCATGACAAGATCTTCTTCAAGTAATTCTTTTGTGAAAGCCAAATCTTCCTATTACTTCTGTCTCGGTGAATTTGCATCCCTAGAATCTTGTTTGCTGATCCCAAGTCCTTCATTTCAAATTCCCTAGCCAGTTGTGCCTTCAATTCTTCAATATGATCTTTGTTGGGTCATGCAACCAACATGTCATCCACATACAACAACAAAATAACAAAATCGTTATCACCAGACCTCTTGAAATAAGCACAAGGGTTTGCATTAAGTCTGTTGTATCCAAGGAACATAATGAAAGAATCAAATCTCTTATACCAACACCTCAGCGTCTGCTTTAGACCGTACAGAGATTTGTTCAACCTGCAAACCAAGTTCTTCTTTTCTTTTTCTTTAAAACCTTCAGGCTGGAGCATATAAATTTCTTCTTTAAGATTTCCATGAAGAAAAGCTGTTTTAACATCTAGCTGCTCTAGATGTAAGTCCAATGTAGCACACATTGCCAAAACTACTCAAATTGTTTTTAGTCGAACCACAGGAGAAAATATTTCATTGAAATCAATACCTTCTTTTTTAGCATATCCTTTGACCACCAGTCTTGCACGATACCTCTCAACTTGATCATCACCATTTCGCTTGATTTTGAAGACCCATTTGTTACCAATTGGCTTCCTTCCTTGTGGTAGTGGCATAAGGTCTCATGTATTATTTTTATGAAGGGCTTTAATTTCTTGTTGTATCATCATCATTCACAGTGAAGCATCTGAGTTGTTTATTGCCTCTTGGTATGTTGATGACTCACTGTCCTCTGTTAAAAGGCAGTACGCAATATTACCTTCTATAACATAATCTGAGTACCAATTGGGACGTCTTCTCACACAATCTGATTGACGAGTTGTTGGAGCTTCAGAACTCTTTGGTTCTTGTTCATCATGTGTTGGTTCTGCTTCAGAAGAATCTCCTTGTTCAAACTCTTTTTCTACATGTATCTGAGTAGTCTCTGACTTTTCAGTGCTACCATCGTCTTCTTTTCTTTGTAGTTTATCTTCTACAAAGATAACATCTATGTTGATGATCACTTTGCGGGCAGTGGTATCCCACAAGTGATACCCCTTTACTCCATCAGCATACCCCAAGAATTTGCATTTCCAGGATTTTGGATCCAACTTTGAAATTTCTTGGGAGTTGTACATCACGTACACAATACTTCCAAATACATGGAGGTTTGAATAATCAGTTGGTTTACCAGTCCACATCTCCATTGGTGTCTTCAGCTCTATTGCAGTTGATGGAGCTCGATTCACCAAATAACAGGCGGTATTGACTGCTTCTTCCCAAAATGATTTTTCTAGGCCTGCATCCATCAACATTGTTCTTGTTCTTTCGAGCAAGGTTCTGTTCATCCACTCTGCCACTCCATTTTGTTGAGGAGTGTTCGCCACTGTGAATTGTCTTTTGATGCCTTCTTTCCTGTAAAAGTCATCAAATTTTTTCACTTTTATATTCTCCTCCATTATCTGTTCTGAAACACTTGATCTTATTTCCAGAATCAAGTTCCACCCACGCTTTGAAGATTTTGAAAGTTGAAAACACATCTCACTTCTTCTTAATAGGGTACACCCAATATCTCCTGGAGTAGTCATCAATAAATGAGACAAAGTACTTTGCTCCGCCTAGGGATGTAACTGGTGCTTGCCATACATCAGAGTGAACCAATTCTAGAACACTTTTGCTTCTGGAATTTGATGTGTTGAATTTCAATCGGTGTTGCTTACTTGTTATGCAATGCTCACACAAAGTAAGTGATACATTTGTTAAGCCCGGAAGTAGCTTTTGCTCCGCAAGGACTTTCATTCCTTGTTCTGACATGTGTCCAAGTTTCTGATGCCATAGCATTGCAGAATCTGAACTACATGAGGCAACAGAGGCTTCTGCTTCTAGCAAAGTCTCCCCCTTCAGCATGTACAAGTTTGTTGTTATCTTTTCGCGTTTCAGCACCACAAGCGCTCCATGGAACACCTACATGATTCCTTTCCGTGTTTCAATCTTGCTTGCATTATTATCCAACAATTCATAGGATAATAAATTTTTCTTCAGGCCTTTCATGTGCCGCACATCTCGAACAACTTTAATTGTTCCATCATACATCTTCAATTTGATGGTTCCCACGCCAACGATCTCTAAGGCATGATCATTGCAACTATACACAGATCCTCCCGAGACATGTTCATAATGATGGAATCATTCTCTTCTTGAGGTCATGTGATATGTTGCTCCCAAATCAATGAGCCATATATCTGCAAATCTTTTTTGCCTTTTACGGTGGTTGACGCTTCACAAATATAGAGTATCTCCATCATCTGAAGTGTTTGTGGTATTGCCTTGTGGATTGGAGTTTTTATTTAGACTCCAACAATCCTTCTTCAAGTGACCCTTCTTTCCACAGTTGTAGCACTTTAAATTCTTCTTGCTCCTCGACTTCGATCTACCATGTTTGTGATTGCTGCTTTGGTCACGTTCTGTTGATCTCTCTCTCATCGTTGTCAACGTTGTCAACGCTTCTGCTTGTTGCAGATTTACTTGTCTGTCTTCCTTGTTCTTGCGCCGATTTTCTTCTTGTAGAACAGCAGCTGTAACGTCATCGAAGACTAGACTGGTGACATTATTGTTTGTCAAGTTGATGATGAGTTGATCATACGAATCCGATAGACTTTGAAGTAGAAGTTCAGTACGTTCTTGTTCCCCTATTTTACAGCTTAAGGATGTAAGCTGAGAAAATAAAGTGTTCAGTGTATTTAAGTGCTCCGTTACTGAAGTAGATTCTGGCATACAGAGAGTGTACAATTTTCTCTTAAGGAAAATTTTATTGTGCAACGATGTGGCCTCGTACAGTTTGGTGAGATGATCTCATATCTCCTTAGTTGTCTTCTTCTCCTCGATGCTTGACAATTCTTCATCTGCTAATGCTAGATGAAAGTTTGTCATAGCATTCTCATCCATCTCGATCCATTTGTTGTCATATGTGAAATCTACCAGCCTTTCACTAATAGCTGCTAGACAACCGTCTTTTCTCAGAATGACCTTCATCTTTAATTTCCACAATAAATTTTTTCCCATTGGATTTTTCAACATTAGTCCGGTAGATTTCATGAGCTCCAAGCACTCTATGGCACCACTAAACCGCCCAGACTTTCCATAAATATCTACAAGTGTGGTATATGTTACAATATTAGGCAACAAACCATTGGCCTGCATCTTCCCCAACAAGCTCTTCACATCGTCCCACCTCTCCTGCTTTCCTAATGAATTTATCATAATATTATAAGTAGTAGTACGCGGTGAATACCCCTTTTTCTTTCATTTCCTCAAACAATTGCTCCGCTCTGTCATGCCACCCAGCTTTACAGTGGCAATCTATTAGCGTATTCCTAGTAGTAGTATCTGGCTCGATCCCCTCTGATAGCATCTGATTGAATGTGGCCATGGCATGATCAAGACAACCTGGAACGATCTTTGCCATTCTCCTTTGTTTCGATAACTAGCTAAAATCCTACTATAAACAAAAGAATTCGGCTTCACACTATTGGCTTCCATCTCTTTCAATACAATTCTTGCACTCTCCCATATTTTCATAAACTTGATTTGATTCGAAAAATGATTAAATTTGAGTTGAGTTATAAAATATAATTAGAATATCTTAAAAATATTAGCAATTAGTGGATTGATTTTTAAGTTTGAGTCGAGTCTTTCAATTCTATATGATATATGTATATTATATATGAAGAAATATATATATCGTATATAATTATAGAAAATTGTTTAAATCATAATCAAATAGTACGATAATATTATAAATATTTATAATTAAATTTGAAAAACTCGACTTGATTTTTTTAAAATAAGAGTTAATAAATTAAGATTTGTCAACTTGACTTAATTGAAATTTTTTTATTTGACTTGATCGAATGTACCTTACCAACCAATAAAATATCAAATTCTTTATTAAATCATTAAATTTAATGCGCTTTGTCCTAAGGTGGCGAATGCAAGGAGATCTCGGTTCTGCTCCAGCATGACCAAGTGTTGATCCTCCATGAACACCAATGCTTCAATTCCATCCTCCATTTTTGTATCCATAAGAAGAACCGTATTCTCGATCGCAGCTTCTGATTCGGCACAGTCCTTGCATACCCACGTTGGCTTCCCCCACCCCTAGTCTATATCATACAGGCCAAAGTTGCACCAGCTCGTAAAATTAATAATATCGATCTCACCACCACACGATGCCTTGCCGATCTCTTTCATTTACTCTAAATATTTAGTCCATCCTCCATCTCCTTGTAGGGCAGCAAAAAATCACCATCAATTTTCCTTGTTGCTTTCCTCAGAAGGCACACCAAGGTGTCCAACTCTGTGTCGTTTTCTGTCGCGAGTGCGGCCGCGACGCATAAGAAGTTCCCGATTGAAGTTTTTGGGATTTGTGGCACTGCCCTTTGACGAAGATTCACTGTATGATTTATAAGAGTCGATTTTCGGGTGTCGGATTTTGATTTGAGAGTTGCGATGATACACTTGGTGAGGAGGGCTAAGATGACTTCGACTTGTGTCGGATTTGATACACTTGAACTTGCTGCTCTGGCTTTAAGTGAAGCTATTGCCGAGGCATCAAAAACAATTATCGTAGTTCTGCACGTTCTTTCTTTGAGAAATGTGGTCATTAGTGTTGAGGTTGCCTCTTTGGAGAATGCCGCATTCTGTGGGAAGACAACCGAGGCGTTGAAATCCGGTAAAACGGCTTTGTCGTTGGATTTACGAATCAGTGAAGCCCAACTTCTAAGAAATGTTGTAATGCTAGTTGCATCGAAGACCATGTGCAAGAGACGTGATCCGATGGCAACGCCGCCGCACGCGAAAGATGTATCATGGATACATAACCTCCTGCACTCGTTGCAGGGAGGAGTTGGGGAACATAGGACGAATCAGTGAGCTCGAGAAACTCCCTGAGCCGACTATTAACTCTAGCCTTGACGTAGTACGCCCCCTCGTCGTTACAGTCGACCGAAAGATGATGTTCCTCGATCCTCCCGGCGAACGGATAAAAGAGAGTCAACGTTTCCGATAGAGATTCCTTAAGCAACTGTGCCCTCCTAGAGTTATCGGCGATGATATCAGCCGACGGAATGCCGGTTTCTTGGTTCATATAAAAGAGGACCATAGGAACATAAATTGAAGGAAGGAACTGATCCAGAAAGGAAAGCAAGTGTGTTCTAAGATGATGAGGCGTTGGAGAAGATGGTTTGACCAATTCTTTGGAAACTATTTCAACCTCCATCACCATTTTCTCTTGCACGAAAATACTCCGACGTTTAGCACAATCCACACATCATTTATATATAACTGGCTGACATGCAGATTGTATTTAATAATCAAAATTTAATTTCTTATAACATATAACATTAATTATTTAATAACTATTATGAAATAGTAACATTTATAATTAAATGTATATGCTAAAATCCATTAATTCCTCATTTTTCTTTGTGTTAATTTGTTTCTTCATTTTTTCCCACTCTTCTCATTATGTCACAAGCATATATATTTTCATGAATATATAATATACTTTCAGCTCTCTGGTAGAGCAATGGAATAAGTTAATTATTATTTTTCACGAATTAAGTGATTTCAGTGATTATAAGATTATTCTCATCTCTTGAAGTTCCGAGTTCGAACACTATGTTTGTAGGGATGCATAATCATTCGTTGTCAAATGAAAATTTCTAGTTTACTCAAAACTTGACGTGCATGTCTCATTCTTGAGGTAAATGTTAAGATTAACCTAGACAAAATGAGACAACATAAATATTTTTAATCACCCAGTCAATTAATAAACCATTCGATTAGCTTTATTTTAGTGGTTAATCTATGTACTCACAAAATCTCATTCTTAATATATGTACTCACAAAATTTAAGCCAGCCGCCATCTCTTTGTGAGGCAGTTACAAAATCACCATCAGCTTTTCTTATTGCTTTCCTTAGATGGCATACAAAGTTATCCAAGTTTGTTTTGTTTGATGTTAATGGTAGGGACGAACACATGATTTTAAGTTTGTTTTGTGTGTACATTATTTCCTTCAGATTTTGTTTGAAGTGCATCAAGTACTTACGATTCCTTTGCTGAAGTTTAGTTTTCGTTGGCAGAGAATAAGGTGGAAAAATACAGTTACTCTTGAACAATATTGCTAATGGCGATGTGCTTTTGCTGCTGTATAATTTCTTGACGTCGGTTCTGGATTTTCACTGATGAATGTCGGGTTAGGATCGACATAATCAACTTCATCATGAAGCAGATGCACCAAGACAAAGTCCAGCCTGACCCTTCAACCTGCAGTTCTGTATTATCTGCATGTCGACGGCGGTTTTGTGGAAGCATTGCAGGTTTCGAGTATGTGGATGATTTCTTATGAAGACATCACATAGGAAGAAAAGAAGATAGAATATGAGGACTATTTTGTGCTGTCTGATGTATTGAAACGTTTGGAAGAACCATTTGCAGCAATGTTAAATTTAGCCAAAATTTTGGATAATATAGAAGCTAAACATGCAAGACATGCACAAAATTTCCATGTTTTCTCCGGCAGCAAATCCCCTTAATTAACCACCCTCTGCTTCTCCGCGTAAATAATAGCATGTTGATGTTCTCCAAATTTGCTATCGAGTATATTAGCAGTCGTGACTGCCAAATTTAAATATCTTCTCCTGGAGGCAACTCGGCGAGCTTTGGACGGGTGCCGAGTACTCTTTCCATATCAAATCGGACTTCAATGTTTCGAAGGCTGTATCCAACCACCATGAGCCAATAAAGAAGCTTGGCTAGTTCAGGTGCACTAGTCTCAGTTACACTTGTCTGTCACACAAAACAAGGGTGGGTTAGGATGTCCTTCAAAAATAAAATGAAATTGTAGTATGGATCTACACATTTCTTCACAAGGTGCATGTATCTTCCAAATCAAAAGGCGGAATTTGGATTCTCATTCTCCAAAACAAAGAGGAAGAACTCCAACTGATTTAGATAAGAATGGAAATTTGAATCAAGAAGCCAAAACTATCAGAGTAATGTAACGGTAACCTTCATTTGGTTGGGATCCGAAACAGCTAAAAGACGCTTAATGAATGTATTCATTGCAAATACGACATCCTCTCCAGCACTACTTGTCAACTCCTACAAAGCATGTAATTTGAGTTAATACATATGTAGATAAATCTCATTTGAAGCAAGTAGAAAGAACAATTATAATGGATATGTAAGGCAACAAGTATTCATTAAGTTCTAGTCATAATCAAAATGAAAACATAACTATAGAATCAGCTGTCAACTAGAACCAATGCCATGAAATTATAAATTGCTGAATTTACCTTCAAATTTTGGGGCTCAAGAGACTTGAGATATTCTAACAGTTCATTTGGACCATTTGCAGAATTTCTGCCAACTTGACGATTTAGTTCCTCAATCTCTGCTTCAAGTAACTCAATGTACTTTTTAGCATCTATTTTCTCCAGGCCAGAAACATTATTCCACCTGATAACTTCACCAGACACATTCTTTTGTGTACCAGGTGCGTAATCTGGAACATCCTGTAAAGATGACGCCCTTTAGCACCATTGAAAAATATTTGGATATTTAAGAATTACAAGTTCATTGAAATAAATGGCATTGCCATTAAACAGTTCCGTCAAGGTGAACTAAATAGAGAGCAGTGTGCAGGAAATCAAAGATCTCTACGAGTAATTGTCACCAAACATTTTAACAAGAAATACAGGAAACCAAATCAAGCATTGTTGATCACTTCAAACAAAGCTATACTAAGAAGTGGTCCTCGGGTTAACTTACATTAGCATCAAACTGAGCAAAATACCTCTCTCCGGAGTAAAAGATGGCAAAGATAGCTTGATAGGATTCAATGATTCAAAGAATAGAAATTAATCACAACAGGTATGCTTTGAATAGACACAAATTGGCCCATGCTTTTATATCACTAAAATGACATGTCATGCTATGCGCCATCTAACTATATCTGTTTCTCATATATATCAATGTGAGATTTCTCCCTGACAGAACAGCTACCATCTTGGTTTCTTTCAAAATGCAACGCAAAAGGGGGGAAAACACATACCTTTTTCTCTTGCACCTCAGGAAGAGCAGCCTGCTCTAAACCTTGTTGCAATTCCAATCGGTATTGCGCATTCTTAAACATATATCCAGTCATCATAACACTGTACATAAGTTGTGCAAGATTTTCGGCAACCTAAAGGAGAAAACCAAAGAAATCCAAATGATTGTCTAAACCAACAATGGTCAAGTTCAATAACACTGACAAACATGACCAAAATATAACTGAAGAACGTACTTTGAATTCTTAAAAGTAATCATAACATTATACATTAGTTTTACAAGATCTCAGCAACCTAAAGTGAAATTAAAGAGCTCCCAATGATTGTCTAAACCAACAGGAGCTTAGTTG